GGGAGGGGAGGGGAGGAGAGAGGAGAGAGAGAGGGAGAGAGAGAGAGAAAGAAAAGGATCCCAGTGTTTCTCCTATAAAAAGGCCACCCCTTGTAAGCATCTTCAGGCTGCCTCAAACGCAAGATGACATAGGATCTAACGACCTCAACACCTCACCTGACTGGAAAATGTTTTTGTTTTTTTGTGTGTTTTTTAAATAATTAAAACAATAACACCGACTCCCCAATCAAACGGATTATTTTTAAGGAGTGATGAATGATGGGGCAGTTCTCCTCCCTCAAGAAAAGTATCTTCAGAAACACCATATAAAGGGTTTTTATTGTGAGTTCTACTTTACATGATAAAATGTCTCCCTCATGGCAATGTGGTATAAGATGGGGGGGAGGGGATGGACTTCAGTCAGAAGATTGGGTTTAAATCTCAGTCTTATCAGTTCAGAGCCATGTAACTGTCAGAAATTCATGGTGGTTCTCAGTTAAATGAAGCAATTGAGTGAGGTAGCTTGAAAGTGCTCTTTTACACTGGAATATATATGTATTTTTAAAAAACACTAACATATTTCTGTTTGCTGACAAACAACTGCTTACCGAATTATTCTCTGGTTAATTGACAACATATGGCAAACATAGTTAAGGGTGGTCTAGAGAAGCCCACGGAGCTGAGCTCGGGCTTGGTCATGTTAAGAATGAACAATTTGACCTCAGATAACTTAGCAAATTATGTAACTTTCTGAGGCCTAGATTTGGTCATCTGTGAAACAGGGATTGCTTCGCTGAGTTGTTGTGACCAGTGAATACGAAAATGCGTGCCCAGCCTCGGGCTCCCTGTGGGTGCTTAATTCTCAAGATTATTCCCAGATTTTGAAAATCCCTGAACTGATTGGTATGAAACATTATCCCTTTGGATCAATGTGCAAGTTGTGTGATAACTAAGTTCAAGTATTCTTTTCCAAAGTGCTCTGATGACCTCGTCTAAGTAAAACAAACCGAGATTAGGAATTTGGAGATTCCAAAGGACTTTCTTACACAAATAAGGACACCTCAGGGCCATTCACAAACTCGGGAACCGGAATCATTGTCATCCCTCGTGAACAGTCACTTTCCCTTCTCCTCCTGGGCAGATGTGAAAGTGTGGAGTTAGACAAATCAATCCGGGATCTGATTGAGAGGACCGTCTCTCCTGACCCAAGTGGCGGCACACCAGAAACCACACCAAGTCACAGAAACCCGTGGCCTCTGAAGGTAAGAAGATACCTTTCTAATCTGAATTTTTCTCACGATACCCGTGCACAGTTGGTTCATTCAGAGGAGTGGATGGGAACAGCCCCCACATCATTTACAGGCAGTCACGACTTCCTTGATGGCTGAGGATAAAGTGAAACCCTATCAAACTTGTCTTCCGCGTCATTTCCTGTTGCCAAAGACTTCCAGTGAACCGTGCGATCGCGGGCGGCTGCAGCGACAGCAGTGAGGAGGACAAGACGCTGTTAGAAAGAATGGTGGACGCTGTGAGGATTCTGTGTGTGTAGTGGGGGGGGAGGGGGGACTGCTGTTGGAAGTTTCAAGCCCACTTAAATTGAGCATCTAAAAGCAGCACAAGTGGTGGTCACGTTGTAAGAAAAACACCAGGCTTTACTGATTAAAAGAGCAGCTTGACTTTGAATGTCCTCTTGTTTCAGGTGCTTTGTGTACATAAATTAAACCCCAGGATAAGCTACAGCTAGGAATGTCTGGAAGACTTTCTAAAAGTGCCCCATCATAAGTGACCACATAAGCTCGTAGATATGCATCCCACATGACTGAAAAAAAGATCTTTAACAATGGTGACAAACCAAAAACCAAACATCAATGCTAAGTACGTTTTAAGGGGATGACTTGCACCAAAATATCAAATAACATCTAGCACTGTGGTTCTTCTAAAGCAGCGGTTCTCAACCTGTGGGTCAGGACCCCTTTGAGGGGGGTTGAACAATCCTTTCACAGGGTTTGCCTAAGACCATCAGAAACACCTATTTCCCATGGCCTTAGGAACCAAGACACTGCTCCTGTATCTGTCTTCAGGCGGTCCGCCCACATGCAGGTAGAGACCCATACAGGAGCACCGGCGTGAAGACTGTTTACCCACGCTACACCATGCTGCAAGACCAAATGTCATTTATTTGCAGTTAGGAATAGATATTTCACAATATATAATTCCAGATTGTTTTGTGATGAATCACTGGCTTAATTATGTTCAACTGAAATAATGAAAAGACATTCTGCATATCAGATATTTACATGACTATTCATAACAGTAGCAAAATTAGTTAGGAAGTAGCAACGAAAATAATTTTATGGTTGGGGTTCACCATAACATGAGGGACTGTATTAAGAGGTCGCAGGCATTAGGAAGGTTGGGAACCACTGTTCTAAAGTGATGCAAACTCACTGTATAAAATGGATATGGATAAGCGCAGAGAAGACTTGGAAAATCATGTCGAGAGATTCCTGTGGAACTAATGAAGCTTGGGCTCCCTAAACATTTTCATTTGTTTCTTTCATCCCTTTGTATCTTTTTCCTCAATGAAAGCCCCTGAATTGTTTAAGTCAGTAAACCTAGATGCTCCTCTGAAGATACCTGTAGCACCACCACTTTGAGGAAGAAGCTCCTGATTTGGGAGCATCTCTGTGTCTCTTTATGAGGCGCGCTGGTGGTGCTGACAGGCAAGCAGTTGGACTGCTGGCCACCAGGTCAGTCATTCAAGCCCAGCAGTCAGTCTGTGGAAGGGACACGAGGCTCTCGCTGCTCCTGTAAAGATTGGTAGCCTTGGGAGTTGGAATTCTCTTGATGGCAGTGGGCAATGAAATGGTGTTTCTTTGTCTTTCTTTCTTGATTCCTATTGCTCTTCCTCTTTGACTCCTCGGGTTAGTTAACCTCCCCCTTTTCACCGAATAGTTGTCCTGGATCCTCCTGGGGTCTTCTTTGCTCAGTTCTGGTTTTGTCCTTGTTGTTATTGTTGCCATTTTTTAACAAATAGTAATGTGTGAATTCTGTATATAGACACTGTTTCTTGTTTAGAAACTCACTTATTCCCCAAACCAGACCAGTTGCTGTCTCATAGCCAGGCCCGGTGTATTGAAGTACATATGTGCTCCATAGAGTGGCTACTTTCCCCACAGTCAATTGTCAGACTTTTCTTCAGTGGTACCTCAGATGGACTTGAACTATCTATCTATCTGTCTGTCTATCTATCTATCTATCATCTATCTATCTATCGACAGTCAAGCTTGTTTACCATTCAAGCCAGAGACTCCTTCTTCCTGAAAAGAGGGTCTTAATTTTAAAAATTATGCATGAATCTCTGCTACTGGGAGATGTTGTTGCTAGGTGCCATTGAGGCCGTTCTGATTCAAAGCGACCCTGAGTACAGCAAAAAAGCACAGTGCCCAGGCTTGCACCATCCTCACACTCATTATGATTGAGGCCATTGTTGCAGCCCCTGTGTTGATCAATCTCACGAGAGTCTTCCTCTTGGATAGAGATCAAGAAAGACTTCATCCTCCTCTTCATTTCTCACTTTCACTCTCAACTGTCAGACAGGTATATTCTGCTACATCTCGAACTTCCCACTAGAACTTGATTCCTTCATGGAAAGGTGGGATTTTCTCTAGTGCCTTCTAATCTAACCCCTGCAAGAAATACAACCGTAAGAACTGCAATCCCCTCCAGTATCAGATCCTTGTCTTCTCTGCTCATCTCCTAAAACTCATGTGGTCCTGGCTGACCTCCCTTCCCGTTCTGTCCATTCTGGTGTCTGGCTTCCTCTTTACATGGTGAAAAGCTCTTCGGCACCTGAATCGCCATCCTTGTGGTAGTAAGTTCCTTCTGCTTTTGACACTGAACTGAAACATGTGCCTCCCTCTCTGATACTGCTTCCCCTATCACTTGCTTGATGAAATTCTCCCATTCTCTATGCTTCACACATTCAAACAAAGGACAGCAGATTCCCAACTTCCCCTTTCTTGGTGAAATATTAGTGAAGACATTCACAGCAAGTGAGAGGGGAACTGTGAGGTCTAGGGTTTAAGGAAATTGGGGGAAATATAAAATGGTCATTGAGAGGCAGATAGACAGAAGAGAATAGCAAAATTAAAATGAGTTGATGGGCTTTCTTTGATGGCAACCAGGGATGGGAGGAGGGGGGTGGGGATAATAGACGTATTGATTCTGACGATGGGAAAGGCAATATCCAATATAGGGAAAGCCAATTCAATTTGACCAAGATAAATGAAGACATCAAGCGGTACACAAGAATAAAAAGCAACTATGGTGATTGCTATAGCAGATCCAAAAACAAAATCAAACAAATTACAGCAGTAATATCAAGCAAAAACATGTGAACAGTTACATGGTTGATTTGTACACTATATGTATGTGGGAAGGCACATGGGAATGCATGCACATGCATGTTTGTGAGCTTATAAATATACACATTTTATATCCTGCATATATATTCATGTATATGATAAAGCATTTAGAGGACACAGTTATAGATCTTTCATAGACATAACCAAACAACTCATGTGATTGATTTACTGGATTTGGAGACGCAAGGCCACAGTTGATGGGTCCATTAGGTCAGCTGTCATCATTTTATTCATAAAAATAATCTTGTACACCCTAGTTCTGTGAGCAGCGTTTTAGACTTTAAAGGATTGTGAGAACCATCTGAGATACAACTGTTGGTCTTCCCCTCCCTGGAAGAGAGACAGTAAAGGAAACCACAGGCTCGAAGGAAGAAATGCGTCTGCAAGACTGAAAGGCCCACCGGAACCGTCACCTCCTTCTAGCTGGGGAAGTGACCAACTAGAGGGTTCCTGGCAACCATGGCCAACTGTTCTGGCCAGGGGCACAATAGAAGGTCTTGGTTGGAATGGGTGAAAATCTAGAACAAAACTCAAACTCATTAAAACAAAACAACCACCCAAAAAACAGTTTTACCAAACTGATTGAGGCTAGGGCAGGGGTCAACAAGCTTTTCAGATGGAAGAGCCAATCCTGTCTCTCACAACAATTTAACGATTATTCGAGAGCCATGAATATACTTTTACAAACAAATTAAATCATCATTGTCTGAATAATATCCTTTAAAAGTTTAATCCATGAAATGATGATCATTTTATGTTCATTTTCAATTTTGCTTCTGAGCACTTGTACATACCGAAAGAGTCGCTTAGGGCTCTTGTCAGTCTAACATGCACTCAATCCTCTCCCACTTTTACATGCATACATAGAGAGTAAGACCTCATATTACTTTGTGCATAATGTTCTATACCACACTTCCTAGCCAAGTTTATTAATCACAGCTCCTAAGACTTTCCCTCTAATCCCATATCACACCGCTTATATCTTCTCTTTTGTTAAATCCAATGGCTCCTTGACATCTTTTTTTCCCCTCCTGTCTTATTTACTTTGGACCCTATTCACTAATTCAATTTTCTTGCAAGTTCTTACTCCATCGACATCTGTAACGTGAATTCCCCCCACCCTCTGTTATCTTTTGTCTATAGCCCCTTCTTCTTACCACATTCATTGATCTCTCTTACGTCACATTCCCTGTTGACACTGTGGGTTAGTCATGGGCTGATACCCACAAAGCTGATGGTTCAAAAGCACCAGTTGCTCAATAGGAGAAAGTTGAGGTTATCTTCTCCTTAAATAGTTACAGTCTTAGAAAGTCTATATAGGGTCGCTATGAGTCAGAAGCCTGGCCTAATGCCTTGTGGCATAGAGGGTTGTGTACTAGGTTACTAACTGTAAGGTCAGCAATTCTAATCTACCAGCTGCTCTGGGGGGAAAAGATGAGGCTTTCTACTCACATAAAAAATTTACAGTCTCAGAAAGCCACATGGGCATTTCTACCCTGCTCTGCAGGGTCACCATCAGTCAGATTTTATTCAATAGCAACGATGAATTTAGAATCAACTCAATAGTTGTCAAATTAGGGTTACCTAGGGATCTTTCCACAGTCCGTGGTTCATTCACCTACAAGATATACGTTGATGCCTCCAGATAGATATATGTATCAACACGGAGTCCCTCTCAACATGTACATCTATTTCATTCAGTATTTGAAAAAGTGAACACAATCACTTTCCTATTGAAAATGCTTATTGTGGCCTAGTGGTTATGTTGGGCTGTGATCTAAAAGATCAGCAGTTTGAGACGACCAGCTGCTACTCAGGAGAGAAAATGAGGCTTC